CCAAGCAAGGAGTGAATAGGGAGGCTGTTTTCTGGGCTAGTTTTTAATTTTCTTTGCTTTCCYTGAGTTTTCTGATTTTTGGGGAGCTAAGTTATTTTATCTCCCTTTGTATTCCTTTCCCTCTATTCTCTTAATTTAATGAAATTGTTGTTATTGATAAAAAAAAATTATATATAGATAGATAGATAGATTATATTGGGAAGTAGTAACTAGATCTTAAGGGATTATCCAGACCTCAATGAAAGCTTAAAGAATCCTGAGGAATGGAATCATAGAAACATTCCAATTTAAAAAGAAGTCTAATATTGCTCAAGTAAATACTTCTTTCCAGGGGTTAACCTACTGAAACAGGATAAATGAGGAAGTTATAAGCTTGGTAACTATGCTTAAGGGAGAAGGATCAAATTCATTATCAAGGCATATATGCTAGTCCATGCACACACCTTGGGGTTATCTAGGTGTGGATTTTGACAAAGAAAACTTCAATGTCTAGGCTAATTCCCTAGTTGAAGACTGCAACCAGAAAGTATCTTAAAAAGTATCAAATTTAGAACGAATTTTATACCAACTCACAGTTCAGAGTTTAGGCACATAGACTTACATTTGTGAAAACAGAGATGCATACAAACACTCATCTTTATGAAATAATGCTGATACTTGCCTTGGTTTCACATCCAGACCACCATGCAAAAAATTTAGTACATTTATTTTCTTCTCTCCTCTTTTTTTTTTCTTATCAATAACTTCAGATTTCATTAAAAATAATTACAAAGGAGAGGTAAAATCTCTTAACTCTCTCCAAATACTATGAATATAGTTACAATTGAGCCCAAAGCAACTGATTTCTTCCCACCCCTTGTTTTGCCAAACCATTAGCAGTTCTTTTAACCCAATTAACTCTCATATCCATTCCTTGTGTCAACCATTTAAATTTCTTCCTGTAGTTCCACAATCCAGTTACTTCCTTTTGTAACCAACCCACCATCAGCTTTGAATCTCCTTCTAATACCTCCAGAATGAAAAGAAGTGGAACCCTATTCTTATCTAATATCTCCAGAATCAAGAGAGAGGGTAAAGGAAGGAGAAATAAACTTTCTGTAAGTCTGCAAGATTGCAACTGGATTAATTTCTGATTTTGGATTTCTTCTTTCATATTGTCCTTCACTTGTAGCTCCAGAACTCTAGCCAAACCCTGAATTAGTAGTAATCTTTACCATATAAATCAAGTGTATCAGGGGTAATCTTAATGTCTTAAAAGCATAAGGGATTCCTAGATATGCAAGGTGAGGTGTGCACCAGAACAAAGTGAGACACCAAGTCATAAATTCTACTTGAAAAAAAAAATCAAAAGAAAACTTCATACTTAGAATATACAATTATAAATTCTAGAAGGGTAAGTTATTTCAAAAAAAAAAAAAAGAAAAAAAGGTAGCTCAATGATTAGAGTATTAGCATGAAGATTGTAGCTTTGCACATTCAAGTCATTCACTAAACCAAATTTTATTTTTTCAAATGAACTATTTTTTAATTGCAATTACAATGAGTTGATTTATAGACAACTTATAAACTCGGATGTCCCTTTACAGATTCCAATTTGAACTAGGAAACCAACCTAAAACAACTTCTAATTGCTTTAAAACTAAGGCAAATCCATAGTAATCCAAAGGGACACTCCAATGAGAACTCTAATTCCTAAAAGAACTCTAATAACTCATTACTAGTCCTACTAAAATGATTTAATGTAAAGTCACAAGTTTACTATGAATAGAAATTACGTGAGTAGTAATTTCAAAATAACATAAACTTAAAACCCTATTCTTAAGACACCTATAACTAGAAAATATAAATTAAAAAAATCAAGCAGTATCAATATTTTTCTATCACCTAAAAAATTTGAAATTGGTGTAGGAATTGAAAAACTGATTTAACTCTCCATGGATTCTATCCTTGTTTCCATATTTACATCACTGTAGGTAGTCTAAACCACAAACCTAATATGAAAGTCACAATCATAAAGTTGGATAGCATGAGTTGCCTTCAATAGTCCCATTCTGCTAAGTATGCAGGTAAAAGATAGAAAGTGGAGTATGTAAATGGCTAAATATCAGAACCAATGCTGTTGCGTGTTGATACAAAATATTATCAGGAGTTCAGGACAATGATAGCACCTTCTTACTTACACAGATTTTGCTTGATCTGTTGAGTATTTCTCCATGAATTTCTTTAGACATTCACTAATTCTCACCAATCCTTTCATAGGTTAAATATTGAGTACACATTTCTTCTTCTTTTTTTTTTGGAGACTATTAGATCCAATTGTGTGTTTCTCTCCTCCCATGAAAGAATGCTGGTGGTTGAGGTAATGGCAAATAAACTAAAGATGTACAATTTGACTGAGGACATGGCAGTTGATAGAGTGCAATTGCTGAACCCAAATAGTTGGGATAACGATTTTTTGATTGAGTTGAGAAATTTCTTTTTTTCATGAGGAACATAAAGTTTCTTTTTTCTTTTAACCGTGTTAGGGAAAAAATAATTTGATACCATCTTTCCTGTTAGAATATATTCTTTAGGTCCAATAGATGACTATGTAAGAGAGGTACTAGAGTGGATAGATGATGGAGTTATTTGAATGAAAATCATTAGTCTTTTTCTTTTTTAATATTTAAAGTTGTCATTGCTTTGATGATGCAATCTACAACTTTGGATCCTTTCTAGCTTTCTTGACCTATTGATTATGTTGTTATGTGGGTACTAGTGTTGGTTTACCTGAGAAATAAAGGGTATTGATTTACTTGAACTGCACCGCATGGTCTGCACCTTTGACACTTTCCTATTATTATTTCATTACATGGTAGTTCATGAATGACAACCATCTTTAGAACATCCTGTCAAGACTGTCAATCCAAACTAGCATTTAAACAAATCACTTTTCAGCTCAAGTAGAGCATGCAGAACTTTTGGCTTGCAACTATTTTATCTTTGCTTTTGAATGATATTATTTAATAATTTATGAAAATGTATGTGATTTGTTACCCTTAGATGTTTTCATTGATTTTTTTTTTTAATTCTTCATAATATCGTTAAATGTATTAAGTTACTAGTCAATTATTTGAGTCATTGAGTGCACCAGAACTTTTTGAGCTTCAAAACACTGCATTATACCACTAAACCATTAGAATAGTACAGGATGGGAAACAATTGACAGAAAAGGTCCTTATACATAATATCTTCCAGGACAGTAATGCTTCATTTCCAAAATCTGATATGACTATGATCATTCTTCCAGGAAGTGGGCTCCACTACTTTGGCAATGTACCCCTCCCATCCATCAAATTACTTGACTCCTAACCCCCACTAGTGTACAAGCGACTCACTAGTTAATCCATCCAGACTATCAAATTGATTAGCCAAACCATTGACATGGATTTTGTCAACACAAAAGTTGACTTAAAAATCTGCAATACTGCTACAAAATATTATAGTTACACATGATTCTTGGGGCAGATATTTATATACAAAATATTGACCATAAACTTTGCCCATACAAAAGTTTCTGTAATTTGTTTTTTTGATTCTTTGGGTTGTGCTATGCCCCGCCTTGTGTAGCACTCTTCAGATTTACCAAAAAAAAGACTGGGAAGGTTGTAATATGACATGTTATTTGAAGTTTAGTCCCTGTTGTATGTGACAATCATTTTCTGGCTTTTGGAAACTAGACCACTTTTTTAACTTTGGCATGTGCAATCTTGACATCAGATATGATCACATCAATTCATGAGAACTGGTTCTGTGCAAGGTGCGTGAATACCCAAAAACCTGCTGGTGAAGGCGTTATAGTCATGCAGACGACAGCATTTCTGTTAGTTGCATTGTAAGTGCTGCAAGAATATCTTGCTTCTGATATTATTCTTTGGAATTGGATTAAGATGATAATATGGCATACAAAGCATTAGTAAACAACCATCAATTTTCATTTTGCATGATTTTTATTATTGATAAAACTACAGGTATGATGGCTCAATTGGTTCTGCATCCCGTGCCATGGTGGTGATTGATCAATTTGCATGGCAGTTGGGTCGTAAAAATCTCTAGTCTAGCATTCCATGGTGCTGCAACATTCAATTCTAACTTGTAATTTTAATGAACCACACACTGATTAGAAAATCTACCTATAAGCAGGGTCCTTAATTTTTTTTTGTATTGTTTGTCTTTTAATATCGTGTGTAGGTATCAAGTGCAGAAATGAAATAAAGACTTTTTACCTATCCATGTAGGTATCAAGTGCATCTGTGCTGGACATAGCTTGTGGCCATAATTGCCATTAGCAGGAATTTCCAATTTACACATACTGTGCATGCTAATCCCTTTTTTTGGTAGAACAGCTGATTTGTTACAACTCAAAACCATGACATGCAAGCATATGAGCTACACTTTACAGTCTCTAGAAATGAAATTGAAGGAAACATCAAGGTTTAAAAGGTTCCTGGCATCATGAATAAGAAAAACCACTTCTTTAGGCGGATTTTAAACTTTTGATTCTTCATGCACAAGATGAGATTTAGGCAATCACTTTCCACCTCTATCTTCTTGCACCCTAACTTGGAGGTAAGCTTAACACATTCAATAAGAGCAAAGCAACCTCTTAAAACAGCACCAGACGAACCAACACTTCCATCTTTGAAAGTTGAAACCTCCATTAAAATTTTACTTTAAAAACTAGGATTAGGAGGCTTCCATTGAGAATGGGCAAGCTATTCCTATTCAAATTCATGGGACAATCCAGTGTATTTTCCAGCCTAGATGTTCAAGCTTTTCCTTGAATCTATTTTTTAGATTCTCAGAACCCTTTATCGGCAAAAATGTAATGTTTTTGCTGATGTAGCAGTTGCTTTTGTTTTTGAAAACACCACCTTAGTTTCTAAATCTGATCACATCTTAAGCCAAAAGACCTAACAAACCATATGACTCTTTACCTTTTTCACCTTTTCACAAGTAACCAAACCATAATCTTAATCTGATGCACTATTTTATCAAGTAACAAACCATAGCATTATTATAATCTCCCTGTAAACATTTTGATTTTGGGCTCTATGTTGGAGTGCCGATTTTTCTTCCGGAGATAAGAGGGAACAGACTCAACACTGGATAAACAATAAGGATTGATGACTTTAGTTAAAGCTAGGGGTGAGCAGAAAAAACTGAAAAACCGAACCAACCAAAAAAACCAACTGAAACCGAACCGAAAAATCGGTTAATCTAACCGGTCGATTTGGTTTTAGTTTGGTTTTGGTTAACCATTTAAAAAAAACAGCGGTTAACCGAACTGACCGATATATACAATAATATATATTTATATAAATAATTTAATATTATATTATATTTTTTAGTTCTTTTGAAAATCGAATAAAAGATTTCGGTTTATTCGGAGCCTAGTCGCCTATCAATTTATTTTTTTTGAAAAGCAGCATTCTGAGACTTTCAGCGGTTCAAATTTCAAATTTCAATTTTTTTTTTTTGAAATTTAAACCTTTCAATTGAAAGTTCGGTAGTCTGCCTTTGCTAGAGTGCCAAACTGCCGCTTCTCTTTTGTCTTTTCCCCAGACTGCCAAAGTGCCAATTTTCTCTTTTGTCTCTCTCATTCTCTCAATTATCCCAGTTTTCTCTTTTATCTTCTTCGACTCATTTATCTCAGTTTTCTTCTCTCAGTTCTCTTCGTATTCCTCACTCTAGAGTCCAAATAGTCGTCTAGGTTGTGCCAACCACCAGCACGACAACACCAAGCAGCAATGCCAGTCGTCGCCTCGCCGGCAAGCAAGCACCAACGCCGTTCTCTCTCACTCTCTCAGTTCTCTCTTCTCTCTCTCACCTCTCCTCTCTGTGTCTCCACTAGGTGCCAGCCACACCACCTCTCAGGCTCTCATTCAGGCGACACTCGACGGCAACCACCGGCACCAACTAGTCCGGCACTGACAGCAACCAACGGCACCAGCAATCCGGCATCAGCAACCACTGACAATTCTAGTTTTTTTTTTTAAGTGCATAAAAAAACCAAAAAACCAAACTGCGGTTAACTAGTGAACTGGTTAACCAATTGCATCAATTTGGTTTCGGTTTGGATATTTAAAAAACCGATCAAATCGATTTGATTTGAAAAAATACCCCACGGTTTGGTTAACCGAACCATAAGCACCCCTAGTTAAAGCAACATAGTTTGTAGATTTAACCGAAAAGCAACCCTTGGGGTCAGGGTCCCAAATGACAAGTTAAACTGTTCTCCCAAGTCTGAACCAATTCTCGTTTGGGTCCTCTGATTTACAATACGACCTTATACAACTTTATGCTCCCACAAAATTGTAGATTTGTAGTTCAATAATGTCTATCAAAACACCAAAGTGAATTAGGGATCATGCAATAAGTTTTTTTTTTTATTATTGAAACTTAATATCTTTGTAGTCATAGTTTATTATTCTATATTTTTTCTTTCTTTATTTAGTATGAAACTTACAACCATTATGATAAATCACTTCAATTATGTTGCAACGTCATGTGAATCAAGGCCAACAGTCTCAAGTCTTTTAAGGCATAGTATCCTTTATTTGAGGTGACTGCTCAATATGGAAATATTAATAGGTTGAATGCTTAATGCCATACATATTAATAGGTTGAATGCTTAATGCCATACCCCTGTATTTTCGATATTTTGAACCTCGATAAAGTAGTGCATCATCAACGAGAAAGGAAAGATCAAATACAGAGAATACCATACTGCTAGATTGACATGATCTGGTAAGAAAGATCTCCCAGAAATCAATTAAAGGACTTGTATGCGTCCATCTTCTGCAGGTAACAGATGACTCTCTCTGATGTGGTCAACCTTTGTAAAAATGAAATTGTCACCAATACGAGGATTAAATTCCTCTTCACCAATTTAATCGTAACCATGGTGTAAATGCAACCGAGGGACCAAAATATTTCTTTGTAACACTGGTGGCTCTACTAATTACGGCTACAGTCAACAACAGTGGTTGATCAAAAACATGAAGAATGCCTTAGTTTCTCATTTTCTACCAGTGGATGAGACATGGTAACCTTTCAAGTTTGTAAGTGCATAGAGATGGATAAAATAACATCTGGCAATTGCAAAACCAAACCCCACTCCCAGCTAATAATTATACCCAAAGGCAACCAAAAGGGGTTTAATAACGACCCTTTACGACAAGGGTTCAGCATGAAGACGCTTGTAACACAAATGCAGACATGAAAATGGATGGTGGGAAAACCCATGAAAACCTACTCAGAACCTTTCAACCTACAATCATTTTATTCACCAGTGGAAGTGCATATGACTTGTAGAAGTTCTGTATAAACTGAGAAACTGAGGGGAGAGTACGGATAACTTTATATGCCTTGGGGTTCTTTTCCAAGTGTTGGAAAACTCTGGTATATGTAATTGCTTCACTAGGATGTTTCTGTTCCTAGAAAACCCAAAACCCATCTTACCACAAAAGCCACCTTCTTGTACAAAATTGCTCGTGCTTCTTGCAACATTCTTTTATTTTTTTGGTAACCAAAACTTGACAGGGCCCAAAATTTCTTTTTTGAATTGTGAAAACTGAAAAACCCATTAGTCCATTACGATAGTTAGTCTTGTAGGTGAGCCCTCAAATTTGACAATATCATCTGGACACATTAAGGAGAATGTGGTTGCGCCTCGGCAGAATCATATCAACTTGGTAGGACCGTTCAAACTTCAAATGGAATGCCGCATTTCCCATCAATAGAATGTTAGGAACAAGGCAGGCTCTCCTCATCTTCCTTTCCCGATTATAGCTAATTTCTTCATGATGAAATTCAAATATCTAGTCTTCAACCTCGTTTCCACTGTTTTTTTTTACTAAAACAAGAATCACAACTCGACTGCTGTGATAATCTGGATGCCACTGTGTTGGATCCACATGCCCAATTATGAAATCCTTCATTGCAGCATCCAAGAAGTATTCAAGAATAGCATCTACCAAAGGAGAACAAGGATTAAGATGTACTGTAATAGGATACCAAATAAGAATGAATTCTAGAATTTACCATTTCGGAGCTCTCCCACCAATAAAATTGTTGTCTGGGCTCCACAAAGTTTCCGCAGTGTTACCAACAGATCTGCAACCGCCCCTTCACTATAAATTACATCTGAACCAAGTACTGAAACATGAAAGCATTGATGTAAGATTGGACCCAGTATGGAGTTCTGACTTCAAAATATCATAGCTAGTAAAAAAAAGGAAGAAACTTAGAATGACATGTAAGATTCAAGTGCAGATTTCACTAATTGCAATCCATTTTGATGCTGGGGGAAAAGAGTTAGAACAGAAGGTTCAATAAGGATGCCCTGCCAGCATGAAATTCATGTCTCAGATATGCAAACAGTTCAAATGTCAGATACCAACCCAATTATTGCTCCATCTACAAGAACCTTCCAGTACAAAATATACCCTGATAGGATGTTCCATTCGAGGTATAACATTCTTCCCAACTAGCAGAAAAGAAATCCTGAACTTAACTAGGATTCCCAAGACTGGATCTTTAGGTTTTACCCAAGGCAACAAACTGTGAGGTGTAAAAATAACATTATGTCCTATGTATGGGAGGTTGTCTTCTTCCCATTATCTGGACCTAATTTATCTTTTTCATTTACTGCTCAAGTGCTTCACCATAATTTGGTTGAAGGTAGATTAGATAGATTGCTTGGAACATACCATGACCGACTGCTTTGTTTTCAGTTCAATAGTCCATATATTCTCGGTATTCTATTGTTACAGGAGCAATGAAATGAAAAAAAAAAAAACTAGATAATTTAAATTTCAACTCCACATTTTCGTTTTGAGCTCTTAAAAATTGCTATTTTAGAACTCAACTCAACTTGTCCTTAATCCCAAGTATTTGGGGTCAGCTACACTAGTACTGTCCTGCCGCTCTACTCTATCAACAGCCATATTTTCTGACAAATAGTAAGTCATCAAATCATTCTTTTACCACTTCAGATCACGATTCCTTTGGTCTTCCCCTTGCTCATTCAGAGCCTTCTATTTATACCACCCCTCCCAATAGCCCAGATAACCAGGACCAACATTGGGTAATGGCCTTCTATTTGTACCAAGTCACTCCTCACTGTTGTAGTACTTGTCTTGGAACTCAAAAATAATAAACAGAAAACTCAACCGCAAAATCCATTTTGAGAGGGAAGAAACAAGCAAAGATAAAGAAGAGAGGGAATAAAAGAATGGAGAAAGAACACTCAATTGTGGGAGCCATTGTGAGTCCCCATGAACTTATATTAACTCCTGGAAGTAATCTGAAAAATCACAAGTATGGCTCTGGTCAGGCAGTAAAAATGAAATAAACAAATAAAATAAACCCATATTGCCCAATGACAACAAGGCACAATAAGTACATAATACTAGGCCTGCTTTTCAACACTCGCCATCAAACCGAGCATAGAGATTAACCATGCATAGCTTAATTCGGCTGCACGTTAATAATACCCTTTGTGAACACATGATCCAACTGTCCATTTGAACCAAAATAAGGAAGGCAGACTTCTCCTGGAGCCACATGTTTTTTAACAAAATGCCTGTTAACTTAAATGTGTTTAGTCCTATTATGTTGTATCAAACTATGGACTATATTGATCACAGCTTGATTATCAATCAAAGTACACTCTCATAGGTTCATCATATTTAATTCTCAAATTGCCCAATTGTGACCAAAACCCAAAGCAATTTTGAGACACCATAAGCCATTGCCTTGTACTTTGTTTCAGAACTGAAGCAAGCAACAACAAACTGCACAGCAGGGGGTGGCTATGGCATGGAACACAAGGTACGTGGCTACCATGAATGGGTAGGTGGGTTTTTTTTTTCTATCTCAGTTCATTTTCAGAACAGGGACGGTTATGAATGGCTGTTGACAACATTGTATTGGCCGCAGGTTAATGATCAGAGGGAAATGAGCTGCTCCCTTGTGGCACCCCAAAAAAGTTGCTCCCTACTAATCCAAGTGTTTTAAAAGGCATGGGAGGTGTACGCCTGGTGATTCTCCTCGAAGCGAGGCGCCACCAAAACGCCCTTAGGCGTATGCCAAAGGCATTGATGCCTCTGAGGCATATGCTTCAGGTGCAAGAGGTGTACACCTCATACACCTCAGAGGCATCAACAAACCCTCCC